GTTCTTGGGCAACAAAGCATTGCTAGTGCTCTATGTTGTCATTAGATGAGTTGTGGGCTTATTGGGCCCAAGCCCATTTATGTCAGTGGCTATGTTGGACCTAATGGGTCACACACTAACACCTAATTGTCTAGACGCTCTAGCATTAAAGGTATTGGGCCTAACAATTGTTATTAGCCCAAGAAGTAGTTTGGAACTCCACAGATAGGGTGGAGGGCGCATGGATCAAAGTAATGGGCTTGGATAGTCCAAGACATTACTAATTAATTTAATTAGTTAAATTATTTATCAAATGTTTAAATTTTGAATTTTGAATTTGAAATTTGAATTTTGAATTTGAATTTTGAAATTCGAATTTTGAAATTTGAAATTTGAATTTGAATTTTGAAATTCGAATTTTGAATTTTGAATTTGAATTTTGAAATTTGAATTTTGAATTTTGAAATTTGAAATTTGAAATTTGAATTTGAATTTGAATTTAGAATTTGAATTTGAATTTAAAGTTTAAGTGTTTGAAAGTTTGAATTAAAATATTTGAAATTCAAATTTGAATTGGCTATGAAAAGTTGTTTCATAACAAAAGGATAAGATGAGATTTTGTTGGAACATATCAGGAGGAGATCTTTTGGACATAATCCAAGGATAATGGGGCGCTGATTTTGGCTAGATTTGATCATCAAAATCAGCTCCAGAAGATATACGGTCTGTTGGGAGAATATTTGAGTGAGTTGATTTAAGTTTGAAATGCAACTAACTCAAATGTATCTTGTCACCTTTTAGGCTATATGGGGCGCACCATATAGCTGATTATATGATGATTCATGATCAGATTTCTGACTAGGTTTTGAACTTAGTCTCAAGAGAATATTCTGGGATGTTGTTGACAATTTTTGAAATGCAACAACTCCACTTATTCTCTCCCCATAGGGCGCCACTTTGATCAGATTTTTGGGAGAAAAATCTGATTTGTTTTTGAAACTTAAAAGACTCATCTTGTGTGCTTAATGAATAGTTAGTTCCTCCTTAGGTTTTTGTGAAAAGTCAAGCCTTTCTCTACTCATCTATGCGCCCCCTTGTGAGGTTTTCTCTTAGAACACTTCACTCTTCTAAACACTTTTACCTAGCCTCCTGCATCACACACTGAGCGCATAGTAAGCCTTATTGTGGTGATCAATCGGCGGCCTTACTGGAAGGAGTTCCTGTATCTAGACGCGGGTGGTGTGGATCAACGTTAGAGGGTCTGAACCCTTCAGACCTATCTTGATCATCTTGAGTTTTCACGAACAAGGTATGACATACGTCTTAAAGTATGTATCTTGATATGCATGTGTGTTCCGCTTGTGAAAAATTTTGTTCTTCCCTCACGCATGTTTCAGCCTTCAAGGCCAATTCTACTTTCGGGAGAAAGGCAGGGGGGATCGATTTTATAGTGGTGGGAACCACTAAATGCGTTGCGTGGCTGTACGATTGCCACGTAACATGCTAGGCTATACAACGATTTTGGCCACCTAAGATGCCACGATACCTAGCGTTTTAGGCCACGTGGTAGACTATAGTAGAAGCTGTCTGCTACATAATCTTGCTATACTGTGTAGCGTCTTACGTGGCCATGGACCTGTTGCCATATGTACATACATAACTCGCCAGGTGTTTAGCGAGTTAGGTGATGTAGCATTTTGGAAAAAAAAAATCAAATCGTGGCATTCAGGTAATTTTTTGTCAACAATGTAGCATTTTGGTTGTTGTCCCATAAACTTGTCACTTAGACCAATTTGATTATAAAAATATATCTTTTAGATATCTGATGGTCTTATATATATACAAAAAAAAATCTCTTAATTTTTATCTTATAATATTATTATATTAAAAATTAAAATTATATTAAAATTAAGTTTTAAAGATTAAAACAAAATATATAACTTTGTGTCATTTCAAGTAAAACTATCAATTATTTTACCTTCTCTCTCATTCACAAGATTAGGAGGAAAGAGAAAAGGAGAGCATTGTGTAGTAAAGAGAAGATGAAAACCCATCAAAATATAACAGTTTCATTTAAAATAACACAAAATTGTGTATGACAAATATTTTTCCCTAAAAATAAAAATTTGATGTTCATGTCTACCAAAAAAAAAAAATGTGTTCACAAATTATTTAAACATTATCTTAATAAATAAATTGTTTATTCAAAAATATAAATGTTTATTTATATTATATTAAAATTAAAAAAATTATTTAAGATATAAAAAATATTATCTTTAAATTTATTTAAGTTAAATTAGAAAAATTATTTTGTAAAAAAAAATATTCATAAATATGAATAACTACTTTAAATTTAAATTTACTATTTATTTTTAACTAAAAATAATATCAGTTAGATATTTATGATCTAATACATATAAAAAAATTTATTTTCTTTTATATTAGTTTATAGTATCAATTGAAATTATTATAAAATTAATTATTAAAAATAAAATTTAAAAATATAAAATTATTTATTTGAAAATTATGGTAAAATTAATAATTTTTTTAAAAAATGTAAAAAATATTATTTAAGAGAGACAAACGTCTATCATCTAATGCATTTAATCCAAATAGATAAAAAAATGAATTTTTAAAATTCATTTTTTTTTTATTTTGAAAATAATTTTAAGACAAAAATTATTTAATTTTTAATATTTTTATTTGATGATGTTATAATATTGATAATACATCTTTAATTTATCTTAAATAATACTTTAATTTTAAATATATTTTATTATTTAATCTTTAATAATTAAATTTGTCAAAAGTTTATTTAATAATATCATAATTATATAAAATAAAATTCGGAAAAACAAAAAAAATTATATTTATAAGACTACAAAGGATCTAAGAGATATATATTTGTAATCACAATAAGTGGAAGTGAAAGTTCAAAACCATGAAATCACAAGGAATGAAAATGGAATTTTTCCTTTTTAATTTGTTAACAATGTTCAAAATCCAAAAGTTTTAATTAATTAGGATTTTTTAAAGAATTTGATAAATGAGAAAAATAAATGTTTTTGACGTGACTATTAAAGACTTTTATTTATTTTTAAATATTTTAAGATTTCTTAAATTTTAAAATATCTTGTAAAATCTGAAACATAAAAAGACCTCTATGTACCAAAAAAAAAAAATCCCTCTAACTCATGCTGAAATGTTTGGATTAACTTATTTTTTTAAAATGAATAGTTTTTAAATGTAAAGATCTCTCTACTGTTTTTGTTAAAAATTAGTGTAAAAATGTAAAAACTTACGTTTTTACTAAGGTGATACGTCTTAAAACGCAAGTAAAAACTACGTGTAAAAACATAAAAACGGTAGAAACACAAGTTTTTACATTTTTATTTAAACCATAAAATCAAACCAGGTCAACTTTTAACGCATGATTGGTTTTATTTTTATATTTTTAATAAAATAAAATAAAAAAACCCTATTTTCATTTCCCCAAATCAAATGTACAATATCTTCTTCTACCTATTTAAAAAAAAAAATTCCTCACGCGAGGCCACTGTATTTCTATTTAAGAGTTGTTAAACTTTATTCTTTTGATGTTGTGGAACTTGGTTATAGGCGTTGTTAAACTTTTTTGTGTGTTTTTGGACTCTGGTTTTATATAGTTATGTGATTTATATCTTTTAAATATGTAGTTATTCATTGAATTTTGAGTAATGACTTATGTGATATTTTTTTTACATGCATATATATATAATTTTGTATCTTGACCTTAAATAGTAAACATTTACGTTTTGTGTCGTTTCTACGATTTACGTTTTTACCATTCCCTTCTGTTTCTAAGTAGAAACTCGATTTTGACAACATTGCTCTCTACAACTACTTTTGCTAGTGTTTGAGTGTTGTGCTCCTCAGCTTTCACATCACGCTTATGACTTATAAGTGCGTTTTTAATTTTTGCGTATTTATTTGCACACTACACTCACTATGAAAGACTCTTTAATAGATCTTCCTCTCGTGGCATTGTCCTATGCAAACCGCTATTTTAATAAGGAGGTAATCTTTGAGGTTCTATTTCGAGGATAAGATGGCCGAAAGAGGTTGAACGAGAATACCTCCAAATTTCTATAAAAGAAAAAAAAAATTGTTTAATAGAACTATCATATGAAACAAATTAGCTTCAGATATAGGTTTTAGATTAGGAAAATAAGTGAACGATAGAACTCTCGGATGACGTGTTGGGCTTCCTCCTTAATGCTAAGCCTAAAGTCCACGAGGGTTTAAGAAACTTTAAAACCCTAAACCTCTTTCTTCCTTTATAAATACATTAGTTGTGGGATAGAGGTAGGTAAGAGAAAATGTTGGCTTCTGAGATTTTTGAGGGTTTTGAGTGAAAAACTCAAAACTTTGATTTGGAGAACACCTCTACGGAGAAGCTTGAGTGTTATATCTCCTCAGAGAAGTTTGAGAGAAAACCACCACTGTAGGTGAGGTTTGAGTGTACCACCATTGTTGGTGAAGTTTGATCTTGTATAACCTATTCTTTTCATAATGAAAGTTTGATTCTGGACTAGTGCCATGTGGGTTTTTACTTCTTCACATTGGAAAAGATTTTCCTACGTTAAAATTTGTTGTGTTCTTCTCTCTCTCCCCTCTGTGTTTTTCGTTTTTTCGTTGCATTGGCCCACTTGGTGATTCAGACCGACCTCTAATTGAAGAGCAGAGCTCCTAACAGACTTCTTAGCCAAGTTGAAGGAATCGAGTTTCCAACATGATGCTAACTCCTAAACCGATGTTTCTAAAATTTTCAAACAAATTATAACACAGAAGAGGTTATACTTCCACCTTTTACAATTATTTTAAGTATCCTTGAATCAAAATCAAATCAAAAGCTTTTACTTGACGTCATTTTGTAACCTCTAATAAGATGTTCATGATGTACTTCAAAGTTATTATTCGTGAAGCTAGAAGCACCACTCACTTAGTGGGAAGAGCCAATCAAAAGTGGACAATGACTGTGATGTGAGCCAATCAAAACCGGACAATGAATGTGATGTGTGTACGGAGAAGAGAGGAAAATGATTTTTTAATCCAATGCCACCTTTTTAATGGAAGGAGCGTGTGCTCCAGGAGCACACAATCAAAATGTGCTCGGCATCTTCATGTCAAAGAGAAACGGTTACTCAATACATTAATGCCCTCCGCCGTAAGATTAAACTGTTGTAAGACAAATAAAAATAAAAATCCACAAGAGGAAGCTCAAGTATCCATCAAACTTCCGCAGGCATTGCAAAAGGTTGTCGTGGCATCTGCCTTGATAACAATTCTTGCATCTCCCTTGTCAAGTTTGCTGTATTTTCAGTTTCCCAAGCTACATGATTCTCAAGGCCACTCTTAATCCAAGCAATATTGTTTAATTCCGTGGTTATAGAGAGCAATTCATGACTTGAGAATGAGGTTGACTCCAAATAATCAACAAATTCAGGACCCAATAGTGAACCATGAGAGTGGATTCTCCCTGTCTCTGCTGCACAGCAGCCATGGCCACATTGCAATGGAATCATGGGCTCACAGCCAACATCATCAAATAACTTGCAGGCTCCTACTTCAGCTTTGAATGGTTGAATTAAAGGGTCCTGCTTTTGGATCATCTTTGAATGGGCAGATTCAGTTGTTGGTCTGCTTGGAGGATTGTAAATACTAAATGCACTAACACGTGCTACCGGCCGACATATAGTAGAATGTCCCTCCAGTTCAGCACCATCTTTTTTTGGAGGATTGTCTTCATTCTGTTTAATTTCATTATCCAGAACAACATTTCTAACTTCTGTAGGATTCATCACTGCATTGATATCACCAACGGACATGGTTTCTTCAGAGGATGCCTTTGTTTTCTCATAGCTACCATCTTCCGCAACATAAATGTGTGCTGGGACATATCCTCCCAGCTCCATACACCTGCGCTTTAGAGTAGAATTCCAATGGTTCTTAATAGCATTATCCGTTCTACCTGGAAGAAGCCTTGCAATTGCGGCCCATTTGTTTCCATGGGTTGCATGTGCTGCAACTATAAGACGATCCTCGTCCTCTGTCAGCAATTCAATTTTCATTAGACTTTTACAGGCACATTACATCACCATAGATTAATTTGACAAGTAAATAAAGACAATTTTACTTCAATTTAATATATAGCATACAATTGGAGAATTCACAAGAGGAAAAGAATCAGAATAACAGATGATTGTATATGAGCTTCAAGTAGGCACGTATCAACCATCAAGGTACCTCTTTTCGTGTAACTCATTGGGACTCCAAAATAAAAGCTACAAATAGCATATGCAGGAGCACAACATCATGGAGGTCCTCAAGCTCAAAACATTATTGATCATGTTATTCATATTTAATGAACACCAAATGCAAAATATGACCAGTATTGCTGTTAATAATGTCTAAGCAGAAATTGGCCAATTATCCCAAATCCCAAACTATGGAACTCCTAGCATAGAAATTTGCCCAACTCACTGTTGCTTCAAAAAGAAAGAGATGGAAGATTCTATCACACACTGAAAACAATGATATAAACGTAGGAAGACATATAGGAGAATCGGTTCTGCTGTGGGTCAAAATACCAAATAAAGGTACATTGTTGTAGTCTCAGTGTCTCACATAAACTAAAACTTAAATCATCAACAATTTCACCAATAAATTGATCAGACCTTCAGCAAGGATAGCCCCAAATTTCAGCAATATAGTTATTTGCCACCAATTACTTTGTGAACTCATACACACATGCACCAGAGAACAAGTATGCAAATGTTAATCTTGTTGAAAATATTCTTCTTTTCCTTTATGCTGCAGGTAAGCTGGTATAATAAGACTCTTCAAGCAGAGCAAAGTTGATCATTGATTGATGTAAATACAGTCTGATCATAGATATCGTTCTTCAGCTACACAATTAGTTAACCCTTTACGAAATTCCAATGCAGATATATAAAACCACAAAGTTGTCAGAAATTTCAACTAAAATGATCATTATACAAGTTGAAAAGGGAGATACAAAGGAATAACATGCTGTAACAAATCTCAAGTTAGCTGAAAATAATATATCACGAGATTTACATTAACTCCTAACAATTGCAAACACAATAAACAACATATACTTCAATTCCACGCTGATATTAATAAAATGAAACCATACAGAATCCAGCAACAATAAAGCTATTTAAATACCCTATTTCCAGAAACATATACTTAAAGATTGTTATCAAGTAGAATATTTTCCAATCACATTCATAGCACACACAATAGAGATTAATGGCTTAATACCTGTGAAGGGTCTGCGTTTTACGCAAGGGTCCAACTGATTACACCACCGGAGACGGCAAGACTTGCCGGAGCGACCGGGTATTCCTCGAGCGATCATGCCCCAATTCCTCGCCCCAAACTGCTCTACTAATCGGCTCAAAACAGCGTCTTCATCAGGGGACCATGGACCCTTCACTCTGCCATCACCAACAACAACCGACAACTCGGCGTCGCAGGCCGAGGAGGTTTGGTCTTGTTGGGTCATTGGGTTTGTTGATTTGTGTTTCGCTAAATGTCAGTTGTGTTTGTTTGATATCACAATGTGTGCCTCTCACTCTCTCTCTAACTTTATCTCTCTAGAAACGCAGGAGACTATACCTAACCGCCTAACTGCAACTGCAGTCGCTAGCTGATGTCTTTGGTTCTTTTCTTTTGACCGTTTTGTAAGGCGGTTTTTTTTAATGACTCTTATGTCCCCTTTCCTCTTCCTCTAGGAATACGCCGCGTCAATATCAAAACGACGCAGTTTCACTACTCCACTGGTTGACACTTATATTGAACGTGATATACCGTATTACCACTTCGCGAGAAATCAAATCAGCTTTGGAATTAGAATTTCGAATTGAACATTGCGTAGTTGCGTACATCGATCATTTTTTTTTTTTTAGATTACTGTTATAGATAATAAATTTAATCTTTTTAAATTTGTAAGATGTTAAAACATAACCGTATGATTAATAATTTTTTTTAAAATTGAGTGGATTGAAATTTTTTGGATGAAAAGAAAAAAATTAGGAATTAAATTATAATATTTTTAAATTTCAGCAAATTCAAAAATAATGATATAATAATTATTTTTCTTTTTTTTTGAAATAAAAAATAGAGTGAATTGAAATTTTTTATGAAAAAAATAATTGTCCAATAGTTATTATCAAAAATAAATTTAGTGTTTTTGATTTTTCAAGTATTTAAAAGATTACACCAGAAAATTGTGAATTATTTAAGATTTTAAATATTATTTGACTTAATAAATTAATAATTTTAAATTTAATATTAATTAGGCCAATTTAATTTAATTGAGTTGATGATCCCACATATTGGAATAAATTATTTAGTGGAGATAGATTGATATATATTTTATAAAATGAGACAAATTAATAAAAAATAATAATTTAGAAAGGCATAGTTTAATCAATCAACCTGAAACGTGTGTTTGCATTACTGTTTTACCGTTCCAGTACAAACTTGCGTGTTTGGGCCTGGACTCTGTATTTGGACTCCAATATTTTGCCCAGTGGTCCCGGACCCAAACAGGAATGAGTAAATTCAATGCTTTCCATAAATCGAATTTTTTTTTCCTTTTTTTTGGTTTATGATTTAATTTTTTAGTTTTTGCAAACTATAATGGTAAATTGTTGGGACCCTAACAATCACATACAATCTCAAAGTAAATAAAAGAGAGAACGAAGAAAACGAAAACACAAAATTTATCTTGGTTCATTCAATATGGGTTAAGTTTAATAATATTCAATATATTATCTACATCGCACTCGTTACAGCATCCAGTTTACAAGAGACATATAAATAGGTTTATAAATTTTTATTGAAACAAAAGTTAACTTCTGAACGCGAATCCAACAGAATTGAAGTGAGTCATTTTCTTTAAAAATAAATAAAACGAGAGGCTTAATTTACACATGCAGCGAGATTTTTTTTCTTTCTGAGTGATTTGCCCTAATTCGTTTTTACTTTTTATTTTCATTATATGTTCTCATGATACTATGGTTCATTATTTTTTGTTTTTACAAAAAAAAATCTAAAAATGATGTAGAAAAGTAGTCAAAGGAAAAAATTACAAACTCATGACGTTACAGTGGTAAAAACTATAATTAATGCTACGCCAGCTATTAATTAGTACATAGGTCACCTTTTCTTTTGCCCAATGTCTTTTATTTTTCGATGGCTTAATGGAGAAGTAGAGTAAGGATATGTTTGGTGCATAGTATAGGATAAAGCCCGATAGTATAAGGCTTGATAGTATAAGGTCTGATTAAATTTTAATACTATCCAGCGTTTGGCACGGTATTGTATAAAATAATATATTGTATAAGATAATATCATTTAGTATTTGGTAATGTACTGTATAATACTATATATAATAAAAATAAATATTTTTAATAAAAATATCCTTTAATAAAGAATTTATATAATTCTTCAAAAAATGTCATGATATTAATTTTTATAAAAGTTTATTGATCAGTGTGTCCAAAATATAAATTAATTTTTATAAAAATAAAAATATTCAATATTTTAAAAATTAATATATTGAAAAATTAATTTTTATTTTAATAGATTAATATTAAAATAATATATTAATTTTTGAGAATTACATTGGTCAACGATGTTAATACATCAATCTCTTATCAGGATTTATCCCTCACCCTTAGGCCGGATTAAGTTATACATCGTTTTGATGTATTAAGAGATTATGCTGTATAAGTTTATACTATACGGTGATCACATCAAACAACTGAAAATGGCATACCGTATAGTATAAGCTTATACTATCATGCCTTATACGTCACACTAAACAGACCCTAACTAAATATATGTAGTGATAAACAAATTCCATTGTCAAAGGAACAATTTTATGATATCTTTTCCTGCCTTTTCAATAATAAGAATCATGGTTATTTTTATTTTATTATTTTATGAATTGCTGGGTTGTTTAAGTAGTGAGTGGTTATTTTGTTTGTTTTGTTATTCGATTTTCAACTTTGCTAAAGGATAGGTCATAGTTATTAATGGATCCTATTTAGTATTAGTTGGTAGTAGCACTGGCAAAATGGGCTCAGCTCAATTAAATAATTAATAACCAATTTGACTATCCACCATCCTGCCCCCATGTCGATTATGTTGCACTTTTAATCGACTAGAAATTTATGAAACGCGAATTTTAGTCGACTAAAAACTCACCTTAATCGACTAAATTGTTTGCACTTTTAGTCGACTAAGCACATTATTTAGTCGACTAAGCACATTATTTAGTCGACTAAAGATCGCGAAAAACCCTATATCCAGACCTCTCTTTGGCTCATTTTCAAAATATTCGAAATCAAAACTTCTCTCTTGGTCTCTTTCTCTTGTTTGTCAGCTGGGAACCTTCCAATCACCCTTCCATTTCATCCCACCACCTCTAAGACATAGTAATTGTGAAATCATTGTCATTTTCCTTTATTTCTCAATTGTTTCCCCCAAATCCGAACCCTAACCCCTAAAATCTGATTCCTACCCCCAAAATTCGTGTGAAAGATGAGCTCAAGTCCAAACATGTATGTTACCATGATTTACTATGATGGAAAGCATTATGAAGGCCCCAACGGTGTTCAATTTGAAGGAAAAACGAAAATGTTGAAAATCAAACGGGGCACTACGTACAATGAGCTGAAGGGGAGGATTAACCAAAAATTGGGGCTACACGGCAGCCATGGCGTTCAACGGATGATCGCCAGGGTAGAGTCTACAGTTGGTAAGGATGCTATATTCTACATTGGTAATGATATATGTGACGATGAAGATGTGGATTGTGTCATAGATGCAATTGTGGACCGAAAATTTCAAAACTTTATTGAGATATATGTTGAAATAGACTGTGGTCAATCTTCATCTGCACCTGTGCATGGAAGAAGTCAAAGTCAAGAAGACAGAGTGGTCGGTTTATCTGCACCTGCACCTGTCTTAAGTCAGATACCACTGAGGGAAATAGACGAGGATGAGGATGGGCATGACGAGGATATGGACAGTGAAGACGATGGTGAACCCGAGAGTGTTATTCCGCTGGGTGACACCTCAGATACGGACGTAGAGGGGAATTTTGACGCTGATACTAGTTCAGGAAACTTGAGTTCCCAGGTTATGCCACCGCTCCGTGTTGACCCTGTTAGCAGTGGTAAGATTGTAATATAAAGTTTTAATTTTGCATATATATATATATTTGTGTTTTCTTTCGTACTGACGGATAAGTTTAAATTTGGACGTAGGGTCTGAGATTGAGCCATTTTGGAACGACAGCCCACACTATTCGTTCATTAATTGGGCTCACCCTAATGATGAGACGGAGATATTGTATGGCGACGATGACATCCACGGTGGCTGGCATTTAGGAGATCCATTATATTTGTACCAGGAGTTTCGAACTAAATCTGAAATGCAACATGCTGTCAAATTATATTGTATGAAGTCTCATCGTACTGCTGTGGTGGCAAAAAGTGATGACCATAGATTTGTGATGAAGTGTCGACACCATAATGATGGTTGTCCCTGGTACGTGCGGGCTATGTTGCCCAAGAATGGAAATAGTTGGGTTGTTAGTAAGTGGGGTAAAAAACACACCTGCCTAAACCAAGGCCTTACTCGGGACCATAGACAGCTGGATTCTGATGTAATCTGTGCAGCCATTATAAGTATGTATTACATTCATTTTTGTTTATGGTTTAATTTTTCGGTATATTTATTGATTGTGTTGACTTCGAATTTTGTATAGGTATGTTAAAAGAAGATCCATCCACGAAACCAGTTCTTATTCAGGAGAGGGTACAAAGTTTGTATGGATACAACATATCTTATAGGAAGGCTTGGAAGGCTAAAATGAAGGCCATTGTGAAGTTGTTTGGCGACTGGGAAAAATCATATGCCATCTTACCTGGTTGGCTGAACTACATGACACAGATAAATCCTGGTTCTGTGTTCAAGATTGATACGGATCAGTGTTGTGACGAACGACGAGTCTACACCGATAAGGCTGTCTTTCGCAGGGTATTTTGGACTTTTCACCAGTGCATTGAGGCTTTCAAATATTGTAAACCCATAATCCAAATTGATGGCACGCACCTGTACGGGAAATACAAAGGTACCCTCTTGATTGCTACGTCACAGGATGGTGATGGATTCATTCTGCCTATTGCGTTTGCCATTGTTCCACCGGGTGAGAGATTGGATGATTGGTTGTGGTTTCTTAGCCAGATGCGTTTCCATGTCACACGTAGGCATGGTATCTGTCTAATATCCGATCGTCACCCCAGCATCATCAGGGCTGTGAAGGATCATGCCGGTTGGCAGCCTCCATTTGCGTATCACGTGTTTTGTCTTCGTCACATTGGAAGCAACTTCAACACTAAGTTTAGGGACGTGGAACTGAAGAAAACGCTGATGAAACTAGGTAACCTATTTACATGAATGTGTACATGTTGTATGTAATGTTGTTTATGTATAACTCATTGCAATTTGGGTTCATTTTTTGCAGGTTACATGTGTTCGAAGATTCACTTTGATTTAAGATTTC